GTATTTTAGTGTGTGTGGGAGTGCTGTAATTACAACCGGCATTAATGTCTAAAGTGCACATATTGTCAATTACACAAATAAACATACATAGACATCATGTTTCAGTAATGTCACTGTTGAGTACACCCCAGATGTCAAAGATCTGAGCCCATTAGAGGGTAAAGTGGACTGATGGATGATCTCATCTGCCTCTCTGTCCCAGAAAGGACAAACAAATGCAAACAACAACAGGACTGACAGAGCTTTTACACACAAAGCCCTCAATCTAATGACAGGGTTATTGGGTGACCCAAGAGGCAGATCAAGGCACTGCTCTGGCTCCTTAAGTCCTCCTTCAACTCTAACTAAGGCCATTTAAAATGCAGCCATACTAAGAGCAATCTTATCTTCTTTTAAGAAACAGCCATACCATGAGCGGATTTCCTCACTTGATCCAATAGAAAAGGTCTTATCTCTCTCAGTGATGTCCTCCTGGTTATGGAAGCACCCTAGTGGCTGGCTGCAAAGCTCAAGCAGGCTTAGATGATCTGGTTGTGCCAAATCTTGCATAAATTTCAAAAACTGGATCATGATATTAGCTCTCTTATCATAAGTGTATGTAAAACAGTGGCTGTATTATTTTAACAGAAACAAAGATGAGCTCACTTTCATATGAATAAATGATCATCTGTGAAATTAAAGTGGAAAACATGAAGCTGCTAATGACAAACTCAGTGTAGCACATCAGTTCACTTTAAAATTATTTATATAAAAGCCTCCCATACACGCATGATGGCATTGGTTTAGGAAAATGACCTCATGCTGACATGGTTTTATTTCACCTACAGTATAAGAAACAATAGCATTTAGTCACACTGATGCATTACTGTCTAACGGACAGTAACAAGCTCTCACACTGAAAAGAAATTGTGGTGTTTCAAAAAAAAGTGTGTATTCCTGTAAATCATATGAGTTGTCTAGATCTGGATAGTTCACCAGTTTATTATCAAGGTTGCAGCATCAGGTATGGCACAATGTTGCCACCTCATTTTCAGGTTTATTTTAATTTAGTTTGTGCATTTCCACTTTCAAAAAACATATGTGGTAATAAACAGTGTAGGCAACCCAGATAATAGTGTCTAGTCAAAACAGTCCATAAAACCCCTTAGTCAGTTTCAGTCACTAGTGTTTTGTGCATT